CTGGGAATGTCCAGCAAACTCTGTGCCAGTGATAAGAGAAGAGTTGGTAGTATCCAGCTCAGTTCATGGTAAAATCTAATCTCCGCTAGAAATCTGCCATCTTGAATTGTCCCTTGCAATGTTTCAATTAGCAAGTAAGTACAATCCATATGTCTACAGTTGTCTCTGTCACACCTTTCTTTCTCCTGTTATAAAAGTGCATGTATGTGCATGTGCACATATGCACATGCTCCTAAGCAGCCAACAACTCTTAAACAATCCTATCTATGAATAAATTCTAATACCTGTACATTTAATTTGGCAAGCAAAACTGGAGCAATAAATTGCAAACCCAATACTATCATGTATTTCCAGAGAAGGTTAATGAGAAAGACCATGCTGAATGCTCTATATTTCCTATGGTTAAAGTGGGAGGCAGAGAAGGACAAAGGGAGAGAGGGAAAGAGAAGGAAGAGAAGGAGGAGAAGAGGAGTGTGGAGGGAGGGAAGAAGAGAAAGAAGATAAATGGAAGGAATAAAAGAAGCTAGGTAATATCTTTTATTTCTATAGGAATATACCCAAACCAAGTGTTAAACCAAGTGCTGGGTCTTATCAGACACCAACTCCTTCAGCCACCACAGGAACACCAGATGGGAGGTAGACCCTCAGTACAAAACAATAGAGCAAGGGTATCAGACAGCCACAGACCACTCCACAGCAAGGGCCCATATGGAGTCACCTGGATTGTCACTACCACCTATCATTTCAGTACAAGATCTAGTAGAATCTTTTGATACATCTTACTATTTTTTGTAATTTAGCACCTCGGTGGTGTTTGGTGAGCAATTATGTAGGCATACAATAAAATCCCAGCAATCTACATTTACCTGAAATTATTTACTATATTTATTATTGTCTAGTAAATTTGCATAAACACTATAAAACAAATGTAAATGTTACACCACGCTTTAAAGGAGTTACCAAGGCCAGACTCAACCCAGATTGGAGGTCCAAGCCCCAGCTAGAATAATTTTGTGCAGATGTGGTTCTTTTTATTTTGTAGGATTATGAAGTACCTCCTGCTCATGAGAAAAATGAGATGGTAAGTTTGCCACTGACTAAAGATTAGACTGGTAAGAGCTGACTTTCCATCCAGGACACAAAAGGATTCTCTAACTTTCCTTTAGAGTTGGTCATAAAACTTTCATTCCAGAGGTGCCCATCCTACACCTGAAGGAAAGGAGCATTCTTATCTCTGAAGACCCGGGGACACAGAATGCTTCTGAACAAGCAGGCCTTGCCAGGTTTCCTCCAGTTTATAACCATTAGATCATGCCCTTGGTCTTCTGGTCATACTTCTGCAAGACTGTCCATAAAAATGCACAGTTGTCTCTGTTTCTTTGGGTCTTCATTTCTGAAGGCCCCCATGTCACATCAAACATATTAAATAAATTTGTGTGTTTTTCTCTTAAAAAAAAAAAGAACTGGCTTTCAACGTATAAAATAGCGACTGTCTCTGTGTTTTATAATCAAGAGTGGATGGCTTCTTGCCTCAAGCTGATATTTTCATCTGACTCAGTGGTTGAAAGATGTGACCAGGTAGACCTGAGACTTTATGACCAGGTAGACTTGAAACTACTAGTTTGATTATTTTCCTATTGTAAGTGGCTGATGGAAAAGCTTCTAGAGTTATTCCAAGGAGGAGACCTAGAAGGTATCCAAAGTAATGATGCATGAGCGCTGGTGACTAAGAAAGAAAAATGACATGAAGGACCCAAATTCTGCCTGCAAGGAATATCAGAACTCAACATACAATATACTTCAAGCCTAGGCACTTATGAAATTCTGTAGAATAATCTTTGAACTGCCCGTGCACTGGAAAAAAACTGGTCTGAAAAACTGCTTGGGACGTGATCAGAGATAATTTTTTTTTTAAACTGACAAAATGAGGTTGATTCTTTCCCTATCGCTACCCAACTGATAAAAAGGAAACCCACAGTGAATTTTACAGTTGAAAGATGTCTCTTATGCATTAAATCAAGCTTAACAAAAATTTTATAAAATTACCATATTCACTTATGTTTTCCACTTATTTTTGACACAGTCTCACTCTGTTGCCCAGCCTGGAGTGTAGTCGTGCAATCATAGCTCACTGCAGCCTTCATCTCCCAGGCTCAAGTGATCCTCCTGCCTCAGCCTCTGAGTAGTTGGGAGTACAGAAGCACATCACTATGCCCAGCTGATCTTTCTTTTAAAAATTTTTCATAGAGACAGGGTCTCACCATGTTGCCCAGACTGGTCTCGAACTCTTGAGCTCAAGTGATTCTCCTGTTTTGGAGAATCCAAAGTGCTGGGATTACAGATGTAAGGTACCATGTCCAACCTCCACTTGATATTATTTTAATGTAGTGGTAGAAGAGGTAGCAAGGCTTACATAAGAGTTCTTGTCTTGCTTTACTCTTGACAACCTTTCTTCATCTTTGAGAATCTCAATCCTACCTCCCACCTCAAGCTAAAAACAGAGTTTAGTTGAAACTTTTTGAAGGGTAATTTGGTTTAGCTAGCAGAATTTAAAAAATTTGCATGTCATTTGACCCTGTAATTTCACTTCTGGAATTTACTGTACAGAAATACCTGGATGAATGCTCCATAAAATAAGCACAAAGATTTTACTGCAACACTGTTTGCAGTAAATATTGTTTGTATTTTTTTGACAAAAAAATACCCTAAATGTCTATCAAGAGGAAATTAAAGTATGAAATAAATGAACTGACAGTTATTAATCTGTTCAAAAATGAGTTAAACTCTAGGTACTGACACATTACAATAAAATAAAGCGAATAAGTAATGTACAGAAGAGTATCGGGTAAGTTCATTTCTGTGAGAGAAATTTACAGATGTACATGTGTACCTATGTATTTTATGCATTTATAAATGCTCTCTCTCTTGAATTTGTAACAAGGAAGATCTGGAAGTATATCGAGGGGAATATCTTTGGGAGTTTTGGAGGGGAGTGCAGGAAAGACAATGTTCACCTTTTATACTTCTGTATTAACATTAGGTGGTGTTTTTACAACCAGACTATGTCATTTTCCTTTTTCATTTAATTTTTTTTTCAATTAAATAAAACTAACAGGCACGGAAATCTCCTACTTTGATCCTTTCCACAGCAATTTTTGTTTCTTTAAGTGGCATGTGGAGTGAAAGATCACAGAGATAATGAGGCTCCCCAGGTGCAAGCATTTTTTAAAGTAAGGACATATTAGGGATGATCCACCAGTGTCGATAAACACTTTATACTTGCAAGTTGGAGCTCAAGCCCCATTAAGTCAGGGGAAGGCCAGGCAGCTGCATCAGTCTCAGCTTGGCTGGTTTGACATGCAAGGGCTCCAACATCTATAGCCCCTACACAAACCAGAAAAGAAGACAATGTGGGACACAGAAGAATGAGACTTCAATGAGAAGGGCACTGACTTATTTTCTCCCCTCTTCCCAGTAAATGGCAAGTCGTCTCTGTTTCTTCTTTAATTTATCCTTTTTTTTGATGACTTAGACCTGCATCATCCAGTCAGTACATGTGGCTACTGAGCACTTGAACTGTACTGAAAAAAAAAAAAGTCTGAACTGAGATGTGCTATAAGTGTAAAACACACATTGGAGTTTGAACAGTTTAGTAAAAAGAAAGAATGTAAAAATATCTCATTCATCCATATATTTATAATCATTACATGTTGAAATGATAATATTTTGGATGTACCGTGGTAAATAAAATATATTATTAAAAGTAATTCGACTTGTTTCTTTTTACCTGTTAAAATGTGGCTACCAGAAAACTCAAAAATACATTTGTGGCTCATATTACATTTCTCCCAGATGAGCTGGTTTACACTTTTATAGATATTCCACATGGCAATGCAAATGTTCAGAAAAAGGAACAGCAGGGTAGAGAAGTAGGCATGACACACACACACACAGACACAGATACAGACACACACACACACACACACACACACACACACACACACACACACTTCTGAATTCATAATAAGGAAGAAGTGGAAGTATATCCAGGGGGATATCTTTGGGAGTTTGGAGGGGAGTACAGGAAAGACAATATTCACGTTTTATACTTCCATATTAACATTAGCCATATTAGACATAGTAAGAGTTTCAGAAATGACCAAGATATGGTTTTCTCTGGAAGCAAAGAATACCAGAGTTGCCGTGAATCTTGGGCATCATGCATTCCAGTGTTTTACAGCCCTTTTAAATCTCGGAAGCCCAACAGAGAAAAAAGATGAAAGCAAGATACTCTGATTAAAGCTGAGTGTGCGAACAAGAAGGGCTGAGAACTCTCTGGACTATGCATAGGAGGGGGATCTAAGAACTCTGAAGCACAGTTTGAATTCCATGGATGTGGTATTCCAGCCTCTCCATTTTACAGGTAAAGACACTAAGCTCCAGAGGTTGATGGTTTGCCTTCAGTGGCAAAGCTGGTAGGAGCAGGGCTGGAACCCATTCTCAGATGTCTGATTCCTAAGAAACACCGTGCTCTGCATTACATCATTGCTGCAGCTACAGTGGACAACCTGTGTGCATGGAAAGGCAGTGGCTCAGGAAAGTGCTCTGACACAGGTACAGACACAACGCTATGGGGCTACTGGGGTGGGACACAGTGCTTCAGGCCTCTTCGTTAAAGAAGCAGCTTCTAGATTTACCTTTGAAAGATGACAGAGGCAGCTGAGCACCCAGGACAAGAGAAGAGCAAGGGTTCTAAGGAGAAAAACCTTGAGGCATGTTTTAGGGCCAAAAGGTCGGTTTCTTTCACTAATAGTTACATCTTGGAGAATAATATATGCTACGGCCAGAATAGAGTTGAAGCCTTCTTTCAAAAGGTCTTGAGAGCCAAGGATCCTACACCAGTCTTAGCAAGGTTTTGAAAAGGGTGATAATAAGAATATTAATTTATCACAAATACACAAAGAGGCAGGAAACATGGAGACATACTGACAGGTTACTGGGTGACTGTTAAAGGCAGCCTCAATTAGTGAGATGCAGGTCATGATGGAAATGGGCCAGATTGGAGGGGCCCCATGGAAACAGAATCCACAGGACTTGGATACAGAAGGATGAAGATGATTCCAGGGTGACTCTGAGAACCCAGCTGGGGGGCTGTGGGATGAGGGTTACATTAACAGAAAAAGGGAAGGTAAGAGAAGCTGGTTTGATGGGTTCAGTGAAGAAAGGGTATCTGTGAGGTGGTTGGTGGAAGAGTCAGTCCATTAAGAAACTGCGATTTGGCCCTGGAGCCCATCTGAGGGTCATCTGCATCTTATCTAGATAGAACTCTTCATAAACACCTAGGTTTGGGAGAAGGGAGATGAAGAGCCAGGAAAGGGGATATGGGCAGAGGCACCCAGAAGTGTTCTCTTCACGAACACTGAGGACAGGGAGGCTTTCATGGAGTGAGTGGCCACAAGATTCAAATGCTGCAGACATCATGTGAGATGAGAATGGAGAGGAGGCCCCTGGATGCAATGATGAGGAGGTCACCATCAACCTCTAATATAGCAAGTGTCGGGAGGACTCTGAAGTCAAATAACCCTGGTTCAAAGTCTCTTCTTGGGTCTCAGTTTTCTTACCTGTAAAATGGGGATGACAACAGTACTCCTTATAAAGTTATTCTGAGATTAAAATGAAATGGTGTATTTTAAAGCACCAAATATAGCTGACCCTCGAACAACATGGGGGTTAAGGGTGCTGATGCCCTGTGCAGTCAAAAGTCCATGTATAACTTTTGACTCCCCTAAGACTTAACTACTAATAGTCTACTATTGACTGGAAATCTTACCAATAGCGAACAGCAGATTAACACATATTTGGTATGTTATATGTATTATACCCTGTATTCTTATAATAAAGTAAGCCAGAGAAAAGAAATGCCATTAAGAAAATCATGAGAATGAGAAAATATATTTACTATTCATTAAGTGGAAGTGGACCATCATAAGGTCTTCATCTTCCTCATCTTCACATTGAATAGGCTGAGGGTAAAGGGGAAGAAGAGGGGTTGGTCTTGTTGTCTCGCTGGTGGCAGAGGTGGAAGAGGTGGAGGTGGTGGAAAGGGAGATAAGAGAGGCAAGCACACTTGGTGTAACTTTTACTGAAAATAATCGGTATATAAGCGGACCTGTGCAGTTCAAACCTATGTTTTTCAAGGGTCAACTGTACAGAGCTTGGCTCACAGTAAGTGTGCAATAAATGTTATCTATTACTTTTATGATTCGAAGGGATGAAGAAATGAGCAAGTGAAGAAGTGGAGGCTACATGTAAAGACACCAGTCTTTAAAGCAGTTTGGGCATGAAGGGAAGGAGAAAGACTGGGGGAATACAAAGGGGAATGAGAATCTTTTCCAGAATGGAGAGACAAGGGCATGATTTGACCCTTACGAGGCAAGTCAGAAAGGGATGATGGATGAAGTGAGAACCTAAAAGCAGGGTAGGAACAAGAGCAAGGGTTGAGGAAGATCTGCCTTGCAAGCAGGGAGAATGCATCCTTCCAGAAACCAGAGGGAAGGAAGGAGAAGTTGAAGATAAAGAGAGATTTTTGAACTGGAAGAGAAAAGGAGCTCACTTTGAGGGCTTCACTCATCTTAATTAGCTGGAGATGGGGCTGAATGTTGGGTTGGGAGTGTGGAAGTCGGTTGGGGCTTAAGGATTGTGGGGGTGGGAAGAGAAGGGAATCCTAGCATGGAAGTGGGTCTCAGACCAAAGGAGGGGAGCTGGAGGGGAGGAAACATGCCCATCAAAAGCCTAGATGCAAGTGCTAAATGAGCATGTGTGCTCTAGTTGCTCTTATTTCTGTCTCTAAGTAGAGTTTACTTTTCAGTGGTGGAACATTTAGATGATGAAGTCCCTAATGTACAGTGTTGTGAGAAGGGAGAAGAAAACACTAATTCTCACAGGGGTCACTAAATGCTTGCGTATAGGCTGGGGGACAGGGAGAGTGCAAGCTGAGTGATGCAGCTGCTGAGTCAATCAAGATCTTCAAACTGCTCTGTCTCCATGTATGTGCAAAACACTTTCATTAGTAACATTTACTCTAACTCTGTAGTTACTCTTTGCTTAAAAATCGTGGGTCCTGAAAATCCCCAGGTCATGCCATTAGGACTGGGGAGACAGGAGTGTAAGAGGATTGCAAAGAGAAGTTGAGAAGCTTTGGCAGAATTGTGCCCCCAAGAAGTAGAGAGCTAAAAACACTGCAGTTCCCTTCTTGAAGGGATAGAGCACCTACATAAAAAGGCCTGGTTTTAGTTACCTCAAAGAAGATTGTTAGTAAAAATTTGGGGAAGAGAGGAACTTCTGCCTATGCGACAAGGATTCCGAAAGTCAGATTTGAAAAGAGTAACAGAAGTAGACAGTCAGAGAGGGGAGGTATTGGCTGCTAAGAACAGGGATGGGAACACGGGAGGAAGTAATAAACCAGTAGTTGTTAGTAAGAGCAAAGCAATGGCTTGGGAAGTAAGAGGGAAGAATGGTAGAGTGGCAAACGATACGTGATAGAATGGTTAGAAGAAGACTAAGCCAATAAAATCTGGTTTGTGGTAAAGACCACAGAACAGGCCGACCTAGGATGTGAGAATGGAGGGGCCCTGGAGTGGGAAGGTGGAGGACCAAGAGATGCCCCCACAGGAAAAGGCCAGGTCTGGTGGTGGCTTCTCAATATATGCCATGAAAACAATTATATTTTTCAAATTCATGTTAAAATACACATTACGAATTAAAAAAATCAGGCCAGGCACGGTGGCTCATGCCTGTAATCCTAGTACTTTTGGGAGGCCAAGGCGGGCGGACTGCCTGAGCTCAGGAGCTCGAGACCAGCCTGGGAAACAACAGTGAAACCCTGTCTCTACTAAAATACAAAGAATTAGCCGGGCGTGGTGGCATGTGCCTGTATTCCCAGCTACTCAGGAGGCTGAGGCAGGAGAATTGCTTGAACCCAGGAGGCGGAGGTTGCAGTGAGCTGAGATTGTGCCACTGCACTCCAGCCTGGGCAAGAGAGAGCGAGACTCTGTCTCCAAAACAAACAAACAAACAAACAAAAAGAATTAAAAAAATCAATATTAATAGCATTACAAAAGTATGAATTTGCTCTTACTTAGAACTACCTTGTTTGCATTACTCAACCAAAATTGGACCTTTTCCTGGGTACCATCTTGGATATTTCCTCACTCATAAAAATGCTTTTTAAAGAGATCTTCCCATTTGGCTGGTTCTTTAAAGGAAGGAAAAAAAAAAAAAAAAAAAAAAAAAGAGAGAGATTCTAGGAAAATATCCAACAAGAGGTAAGAAATCTGAAAGTCTAGAGTGCCCTGGTTTCCATGCACATGTTTTGACCTAACCTGAAATGATGGGTTTCTTCTCACAGGCTAGGGCGTGCCTTCTGGCGCCTTGGTGTTCAGTTCAGCTTGTGAAGGACCTCATTTCCTGGATGTCACTGGAGGGGTGCTCAACTATGGGGAGGCACCAACACAGTAACCAATGGGAAAATTGGCAAGGCAGTCAGTGACATTTTAAAGACATTTGCTCACTGACCACTGACCCACAAAGGACAGTTTCACTGTCAGTTTCTCAGCTACTGGTGTTTAATTCACAGAAATCAATGACGACAACTCTAGAGAGGCCACCAGACAAGAGGCAATATATGACCAATCATGAAGCCTTGTTTGTCTCCTTCTAACAGTGACTCTATTTGTCATATTCTTCCTGGTGGCATTTGGCATTTCTTAGCTAGGGATTGGCAGAGCTGGCAACTCAGAACTTCTAAGAATTACTATCTGCTTGCCACAATCTTTTATTCAAAGAATCATGTTTTATTTTCTTTTTTCTTTCTTTCTTTTTTTTTTTTTTTGAGACTGAGTCTCACTCTTTTGCCCAGGCTGGAGTGCAGTGGCACGATCTCAGCTCACTGCAACCTCCACCTCCCCGGTTCAAGTGATTCTCCTCCCTCAACCTCCCAAGTAGGTGGGACGATAGGCGCATGCCACCACGCTCAGCTAATTTTTTGTATTTTTAATAGAGATGGGATTTCACCGTGTTAGCTAGGATGGTCTCGATCTCCTGACCTCGTGATTCACCCGCCTCGGCCTCCCAAAGTGCTGGGATTACAGGTGTGAGCCACCAAGCCTGGCTGCAGGTTTTATTTTCTAAATGTGCATTTTATGTGACTTTGCTGTAACCTGGAAAACCCCATAACTTTCAAACTACAGACAATAGTTCTAACTAGGATCACAAGGCAATCAATAGACACCTGGGGAGTGAACACTGTGAATTTATTTTGCTGTAGAGTTAAAAATAAATCTATCACAATCATCTGATCATCCATCCATCCATCCATCCATCCATCCATCCATCCATCCAGTCTCATCCTTTAAGCTGACTAGTTGGCCACTAACCGAATTTATAACAATTTTTTTTAAGTATTAAAATACAGTTCAATGTGGAGTAAGGATGGGTTACTATAGATGAAAAATTAAAGGAGAAAGATAAAAAATGTAGCTCTTACCCATTTTGTAGAATGCTTCTGTGGGCCAGTGTGGGCAGTTACTAAACCCAGGTGACAGTGACAGATGATATTTAAACTCTCTGGCTCTTTGTCAACCATTTGCCCTATGACTCTCTTTACTGAGTTTATATTTCCTAGGTATTTCATTTTTGAATAAAAGACATGCACCTCTTAATAATATGACAGAGAATTGGCCAACCTTTCTAATACAGGAGAGATTCTAAATCAAAGCTATTAAATAAATGTGTGATTTGCTTCTTGACCACTCTAAAATATCATTGCTGCTATATCATAGTAATACACAAAACATTCCAGAAAAAAATATGGCCTCGTAGGTCAAACAACCGCAATGGCAGAAACCCAGCAGAGTAGAAAAATCAAAGGCGATGGAGTCAGGCAGACACGAGGTTTTGGCTCTGTCGTTTAATTGTTGTATGCCCACGGGCAAGTTATTCACCCTCCTTGTGGAAGGCTTATAGTTCATTATCTGTAAGCTCTGGAGAAAAGTCTTCAGAATAGGGGTTTAAGCAGATAATGCACATGAAGTTGCCCCCAACCCCCAACTGCCAAGGCATGGGCCTGTCACATGACAAATGGTAACTCCCTTTGCTTGTTTTCTTCTCCCTAGGTTATGGAGGATGGTGAGCCTGGCTGACGCATACATGATTATTCCTCAAAGATTTTAAATAAACAACTAGGATGTGACCTCTAAAGAAGGTTAATCCCGACTTCTGGCCTTCCACTGAGAAATCTTTCCTCTTCAAAAACAGACTTGTCATTATACCCACCCACAGTACTCTACACTTCTTCACAACATTTATCCCAGCTCTGGTTAATTAACTAATGGTGCAGGTAGTGAATCTTTTCTCTATTAGGATTTAAGTCACCCCTCTAGGAGTGGGCCTGGCATACAGTAGTCACTCCATAAGTTATCTGTAGACTGAATGGAACACTTGTTATAGGATTTCCAACATGTGACATATTACTGTTGGTGACATGTGAGATGATTTAGGGGATAAACATGCATGAATTTCCTTAATAATTATAATGGTTATATATTTATTCTAATGTGTATTGGACAAATAAATAACTGGTCAAATCTCTGATTTTTCTATACAGCCATGACCCTCATAATAACGTTTTGATCAACAATGAATGAACCACATAAGTGAGGGTGGTCCTAAAAGATTATAATGAAGCTGAATGATTCCTATCTCCTAGTGACATCATAGCCATCTTAACGTTATTGTAGTGCAGCGCATTACTCACCTCACATGTTTGTGGTGATGCTGGTATAAACAAACCTATTGCGCTGCCAGTCATATTAAAGTATAGCACATATACTTATAAACAGTACATAATATTTGCTAGTACAAGACTATGTTACTGGTTTATGTATTTACTATATTATACTTTTATCATTATTTTAGAGTGTACTACTACTTATAAAAAGAGAGTTAACTGTACAACAGTCTCAGCCAGGCCCTTCACGAGGTATCCTAGAAGAAGGCATTGTTATCATAGGGGATGACAGTTCCATGCATGTTATTGCCCCTGAAGACCTCCCAGTGGGACAAGAAGTGGAGGGGCAAGATAGTGATACTGATCATCCTGATTCTGTGTAGGTCTGGGCTAATCCGTGTGTTTCTCAGTTTTTAACAAAAAAGTTTAAAAAGTAAAAAATAAAAAATTTAAAAATAAAAAAGCTCATAGAATGATATAAAGAAAATATTTTGTATAGATGTATAATGTGTTTGTGTTTCTTTATTTTTTGTTTATTTATTTTTTTAGACACAGGGTTATCTAGGCTAGGGTGTAGTGGCATGATCCTAGCTCACTGTAATCTTGAACTCCTGGGCTCCAGTGGTCCTCCCACCTCAGCCTCCTGAGTAGCTAGTACTACAGATGTATGCTACCATGCTCAGCTAATTATTTATTTATTTTGTAGAGATGGGGGTCTTACTATGCTGCCCTGGTTGGTCTTGAACTTCTAAACTCAAGTGATCCTCCTGCCTTGGTTTCCCAAAGGGTTGGGTTACAGTGAGCCATTGCATCTGGCTTGCTTGTGTTTTAAGATGTGTGTTATTACAAAAGAATCAAAAAGTTAAAAAATTTAATTTTTTTTTTTTTTTGAGACAGGGTCTCCTTCTGTTGCCCAGGCTGGAGTGCAGTGGTGTGATTTTGGCTCACTGCAACCTCTGCTTCTTTCGGGCTTAAGCGATCCTCCCAACTCAGTCTTCCAAGTAACTGGAACTACAGGCACGCACCACCATGTCCAGTTAATTTTTGTCTTTTTTGTAAAGACAGGGTTTCGCCATGTTACCCAGGCTGGTCTTGAACTCCTGAGCTCACGCAATCCATCTGCTTCAGCCTCCCAAAGTGCTGGGATTACAGGTGTGAGCTACTGCAGCCGGCCAAAAAATTTAAAAAGTTTATAAAGTAAAAATGTTACAGTAAGCCAAGGTTAAGTTATTATTGAAGAAAGAAAAATATTTTTAGATAAATTTAGTGTAGCCTAAGTGTACAGTGTTTATAAAGTCTACAGTAGTGTACAGTAACGTCCTAGGCCTTCAACTCACTCACCACTCACCCAGAGCAACTTCCAGTCCTGCAAGCCTTATTCATGATAAGCATTCTATATAGGTATATCATTTTTTATCTTTTATACCATATTTCTGCTGTATCTTTTCTATGTTTAGATACACAAATACTTACCATTGTGTTACAATTGCCTACGGCAGTCCGTACAATAATATGTCATACAGATTGGCAGCCTAAGATCAATAAGCTATACCATATAACCTAGGTGTGTAGTAGGCTATATCATCTAGGTTTGTGTAAGTACACCCTACAATGTTCGCAAAATGACAAAACTGCCTAACAATCAATTTCTCAGAACATCACCCTGTCGTTAAGCAACACATGACTGTACTTTTGTTTAGGATGAGGCTAAATAAAAAGGTAAACTGATAAGAGAGTAGTAAAAAAAAAAACCTAAGTAAATAATAGTACCAGTCTCATAAGAATATGGCAAAAACAAGGTGATAAAGAAAGGACAAAATTGGTAATTACTGCCTTAGCATCAAGTGGGTACCCAGAGTTTAGAAGCTCAAGACCAACCAAGGCAGCATAGTGAGACTCCTATCTCTACAAAAAATTAAAAATGCTAGGATTCCCTGATTTAGGATTAGCCTAAAGCAATGAATGAGTCTGCTTTAAGAGCCCATGGCTTGGGAAGTCTCAACTGGGTCAATACTAAATCAGGAGTCAAGTCAGAACCAGGTCAAGCTGGTGATGGACCCCAGAACTCATCTGGCATAAGTAAGAAGCATGACACATGGATATCTGGGGGGTATCATAGGAAATACCAAGGACACAGGGTACCCACCCTAGGAGGGATGGTGTGATTGGCCTGGATTCACTCTCCTTTCAGCCTTAAAGGCATAAGGACCTGGTTTCTGATACTGCTTCCTCCTTCAAGCAATTATTTCTCAACTTACTATTTTTGTGCAAGGCTTCTGGAGAAAGGGTACTTTCTTATGTGCACATCTGAAGTGCCAAAGGATCTCTACGCAATGTCTCACTTTTCCAGCAAACTGAAGCAGACTGTGGCCACTATCATTAAAGGAGCCCTCTCCTGAGCCTCCAATATTTGAGTCCCACTTCTCCGTCCCAATGCTGAGATGGAGAGATAAGTATCCCTCTAGTCTTGGATTGGAACATAGAATGAATTTTCCCATAGAAGAAAAAATTTTGATGAATTAGCACAATGGGTGTTTTGTGTATGTTCCAGGTCGTAGAGGATTCTGCAAACTAGGCTTGGAATCCAATGACCACTTATCACTTCAGTGGAAAATGCTTTTAATGCTTTAAAATAAAATTTGTTCCACAAATGGAGATTGCCTATACTTAAACATACAGCAAATTCCTTAGTAGTGAATACTTAATTCTACATATCTCAAGTTTTATCTTTCTTTTAACGTCTTAAAAAATTGACTTTTATCATCAATCATGACTAGTATCCAAGTCTGTAATTGTTGAAGGACTCTGTCTTTACGGTTGAGACTATACTAGACACATAAAGATAATTTCAATAAGCATTTCTCTAATCAACTCTTGGCAGTACCGAGTTATTCCTGGGATGAAGGAGAATGACTGTCTAAACCCCTACTCTGCTCTATTGACAGTAAATTATTCTTGGTTCTAACCATAAGCCTTTAACCCGATGTCTTCCACATTTGTTGGATGAAAATAATTGCTGAAGGTACTTTTAAAAATAAGAATTCCTGGCCCCAGCCCAGTAATGAATCAGAATCTCAAGGGAGAGGCCTGGGAGCCAGACTTTTAAAGACTGCCCATCCCTGGTGATACTGTCATCCAACCCAGGGGTTCTTATCCTGGAGGTTGTATTAGGATCGGAGAACTTGTTAAAATGCAGGTTGCTGGATCCCAGCCCAAGAACTACTGAATCAATAGGTCTGGGGTGGGGCCTGAGGATTTGCATTTCCAGCAAGGTGCCTGGTGATACTGAGGTTCCCGGTGCAGGGACCACACTTTCAAAATCACTAATTGAGCCTGTTTGGCAAACACTTCAGCTGAATTCAATATTACTTTTTCCCTCCTCTCCTTCGGAAAAAAGCAACGCTGGAACAGAACTTGCAAGACTTCCTTTGGACTCATATCCTTGCTACTTCTTAGCTGCCTAATGTTAGACAAATAAATGTACCACTCCATCTCAGTTTGCTCTTATTGGTAGGACTAAGAAAGGTAACATAAAGGAAGAGGTTTGACGCTATACTTGGCACATGGTACGGCTGCATTAAACATCTGTTTACTCTGATCTCCTTGCCATGATCTCCCATCTTATGAGCCACAGATGAATTTGCTGAGTACTAGCAATAGTTCCAAAAATCTGTTACATGCACAAAACTTTGTTTGGTTAAAACCAACCAAACAACAAGCAAACAATGGTTGACCAGTTCTTTTCCTTGTGAACTATCATGGAGCTACATTTTAAAGATACAATGGGAATATACTGTTTCCTAACTCACCTAACTCACTTTTCCCCATGGAAATAAAAATAGAAAAGAAAAAGAGATTAGATTATGATTAGGTTCTCTGTTTAATTTAGACTAGGCTGAACTTAGTTCCCAGGTATGGATTATTTTCCTGGCAGATATGTATTATATTGTTTGGCTATTTCTTGTGACCTGAAAATCAAACAATCGAATCACATACTCTCTCAGAGGGAACTTGGAGGGCATGTAGCCTATGCACCAACTCTATAAATGCTGCTGAAACATCACCAATGTGTGGAGGTCCAGCCTCTTCTTAGACACACAATGAGAACTCACTATTTTCACAAACCCCAATCCACTCTTCAGATAACTGTCTAATCATTAGATTTTTACCCCTTTTAACAAAAATCTTTCTGTTTGTAATTTCTGTATCCTTAGTCTTGTTTCTGTCCTCTATAGTGCCTGAATATGTCTAATCTCTCCTGTACATGGCAGCATTTAAAGTGCCCTGAAGTTGCACTGACATCCCCATTGCTTATTCTTTTTCAGCCTAAATATTGTTTTTTTCAACTATTCTCACCATCAAAATTTCATTAAAAAAGTTTTCATATATTTAACAGCCTTGGTTCTCCTCCTATGGATAAAGTCCACTTTGAGGATATTTCTTCACTAAAAAAATGCCAAAATATGTGTTATTTTCACCATGTCCTATCATCACCAATAAAACAATGTAAATTATAAGAACAGTGGGGTGTTCCCTCCCAGGCAGAGTTTCCAGAAGCTGCAAGCTACAGTCATATAAAACAACACTGTAAGCA